CCTGGGACCACACCTCACTCATATAACACCATCTGAGAGGGAATTACTGCACCACGTCAGGTCCCCCATAACACCATATGTGAGGGAATTACTACAGCATGTCAGGACCCTCATAACACCACCTGTGAGGGAATTACTATACCACGTGAGGTCCCTCATAACACCGTCTGTGAGGGAATTACTACACCACGTCAGGTCCCCCATAACACCATCTGTGAGGGAGTTACTACACTACGTCAGGCCCCTCAGAACACCATCGGTGAGGGAATTACTACACCACGTGAGGTCCCTCATAACACCATCTGTAAGGGAATTACTACACCACGTCAGGTCTCCCATAACACCATCTGTGAGGAAACTACTACACCACGTCAGGTCCCCCATAACACCATCTGTGAGGGAACTACTACACCACGTGAGGTCCCTCCTAACACCATCTGGGAGGGAGTTACTCCACTACGTGTTTGCTGTTCAACACCTACATTAATCTGTATATTCACTGTATGTTCCTTTACCTTTCTCTAATGAAGGCTTTTGTTAAACCACCAATGTATGTAATAAGTCATTTATGTCCAATGTATATTTTCAGCCTTCGGGCTGCAGAACTTTTTCAATAAACCGTTAATTATTATTATTATTATTATTATTATTATTACCTTAATGTGTACCTGCTCTGTTTAAGTATATTGTCACTATACTTACTTTATCCTTATCGCGCTCGTTAAAACTGCTTGGACGGTCGGTCAGGTCTCTTCCACACTGTTGTCAAGGACTGGGCATGTACTGGTACAGTCTCACCCAAAAGTTAGTTAACTCTCCCAACCAGCTATTGCTGCACTGCCTGCTTCAGATGTTTGAAACTGTCTCAGTATCAACCAGAACATAAAACCGGTACGAATGAATCTAAAGGTTCGAAGTAACAGACTCAACTTCATACATCTGAAGCAGGCAGTGCAGCAATAGCTGGCTGGGAGAGTTAACGAACTTTTGGGTGAGACTGTACCAGACCGTATCTGTACCTGCGCCAAAGTTGGCCAAGTCACACTTGATGCCGTTATAACATTCTCTGGCAGATTGTTCCAAGAGTTCACAAATCTCAAGCCAAAAATGTTTGCCCTGACAATTTTCTGAACATGTAGCTTCTTCACTTCAACCTTAAGCTGTGACCTCTAGTGGAACGGGCGTTCGCCAACTACAGATAAGACACTCAACTGACAGTGAGTAATGTCCTCTGAGAACAATTAAATTGATAGTCCTCGGAGGAGATTACTCAGTATTAATCCTTTAGCGGACAGGAGGCTTTAGCCAGAATAAAACACCGAAGGGATGCTTTGCCTTTAGTATAAGCTAGACAATTGCAAGCATTCTAATTTTCTGGATGACTGAGGTGTGTAACGCAGGGCCGCAGGCACCAATCTGTTGACTCCTTTGGACGTTTTCAATCAACTGGCAGTCTCAAGGAAATATTCCTTGGACAGTCTCTAGAAAGGGTTATAGAGGAAGGATATTGAACTCCCCTTAAACCTATTATTTTCTACTGGGCCTCCAATTGACGCGCCATCTATGGAGGGTGCGACACCATAAAGAACATTTTCTATAAATGGTCCTGGATAACTATTAAAAAAATATATAATTATCGTAATCATAGAAAATGGTTGTAATTAGTGGGTGACTAATTTATTTTATTGTTTTCACGTGTGTACTGGTCGTGATTCATGTGTTGTAAAAAAACCCAGTAAATAACAAATAACTTAAAAGAAAAGAATATATATATATATATATATATATATATATATATATATATATATATATATATATATATATATATATATATATATATATAACAAAGAACACCATAAAAATACACGATTTAATATCAAATAAAATAAAATTAGCATGTCATTGGAAATATTTTCCTAATGTTATGTCCTTCCACAGCTTACCCAGCTTCCACCACTGGTTACCAGCGGCTAGGGTCGTCTGTACAGAAGCAGTAGATGTCTCACAAGTGTTGTCGAATTACCACTGGCTGTCCCGCCAATCTCCGGTAATTTCCCGACGATCGGTATCAGTGTACAGACAAGCAATAGGCAGGTAGATTTCTACTAGGTTACATGAACACACTTGTGCACTGCAGTCTTCTTTAATAAACAGTAATTCTTCGCAACACTGCTAACAGGGTTATGTCTTCACAGCTTGAGTCCACACTTCGAATACATAGTCAGCACATTACTAGTGTACTATTCCTTAATCTTCTCACTTTATATTAATCACAACAATTCCACAATACTTGAACAACAATTGTCCCTCCTAGGTAGCCCGCGCCCGTTTATATACACCTCGCCAGACGCTTCTCGAACATCCTAGAATCACCCATAGACGTCTGGTAAATTCTAGGACGTTCTACTCTGATCGAGGCTTACAATAATAAGTAAATCAGAACAAAATTTATTCAATACATTTTAGAATATTCTTACACAATTAATATATCACTATATACACGAAAATTTAACTTAATTTGCCCAAATAACTGCTGCATGGGACAGAAACAATCAAAACACCTAGTTTACAAAATTCTAATACGAAATTATGCCTCGGCATAACACTTCCCCTTCCCTAATTCTTGTGTCTTCCCGACACACACATATCCACTTTATACATGAAAATCCTGAAACTTGGTAGGTCTTCTCGTCTATCACTGCTTCCGCCGATATACTGGGATGTCTTCAGAGTTCTCCCTTGGCACAGTAACCTCAGTCACATCCTCAGATCAGTCCCCCTCTCCTGTCACATCCAATTCCGCTAAGAGGGAACAGTGTTCCTCTTCCTGGTCCATGGTCGGGTTCCCTGGATAGGTACGGTACTGAGTTCTTCCAGGATCTCCAGTCTGGTCCTTGTTGGTGGTAGGTGGCTGCTCCCCAGAGTCTTCCCGGGTGTACTGCCTTGGCCCATGATACTGCCACGGACGATTGACGTGGACTACCTTCGGCTGAGCCTTCCTTCTTCCCCTGATCCGGTAGGTCACACCTGAAAGGCGTTCCACTACAATGTATGGTCCTTCCCATGGACTCCACAGAGAGTTATACAACCAGACTTTATCACCGTCCTTGTAACAGACTTGGCTTGCTTTGACCTCATGGTTGCGCTTCATCACTTCACCCGAGAACTCCAGAGCTCCTCGGACTTGATGGTGGACCTCTGCCAACTTTTCTTGAAGGCTTTTGACGTAACTGCTGGTTTCTTCAGGAAGTTCTTCATCAGGGTCTTCTTTGTCAGCAGGTCCTCTGGCAGCCGCAGTTCGTGACCCAGCATCAGTTCTGCCAGTGTGTATTCAGTTGACACGTGGGCAGCCGACCGATATACCATCAGCAGAGCAGGCAGCTTCTGGTCCCATTCTGTGTGCCCCTCAGCTTTGGCCAGTTTTTGCCCCAAGGTCAAATTAAACTTTTTCACCATTCCGTCTGACTATGGCCGAAGTGGAGTGGTCCTAGTCTTCCTTATGCCCAACAGTTTACAGCACTCGCTGAACACAGCTGACTCGAAGTTTCTGCCCTGGTCCGAGTGCAACTCGTCGGCCACACCAAACCGGCAGAAGAACTGGTCCACCAACAGTCGTGGCTTCCTGATTTGGGATGGCATAAGCTTCTGGCTACTTAGTAAAGTAAACCATGGCCCCACAGATGTACCTATTCCCATCTGCAGTGAGTGGCAGAGGTCCTGTAATATCCACTGCTACTCTCTCCACTGGTACACCTGCAGGGTACAGCTGCAGTGAAGCACGTGTGTGTAGCTTTGGTCCCTTCTTGGCACAACAGACATGGCATGAACGGCACCATTCTTCCACATTCCTACACATGCCAACCCAGTAAAACTTTGCCGCAGGCGACTTGGGGTCTTCTTCACACCCAGATGTCCACTGGCTGGATCGTTGTGCATTTCCCTCAGGATCTCTGACCTCATCTTCCGGGGAAGTACTGTCAGTCAGTACCTGTCGAGGCCATTGGTAGTCACCCAATGGCGCTGCAGCAGACCATTATTCAGCCGAAGAGCGTCCCACTGAGCCCAGTAGTTTTTAGTCGTCGGACTTGCTCCAGAGATCGTCTCCCAGGCTGGCCGCACTGAGCTCTGGTTCATCCACTCGACCACTAGTTGCAGGTCTTGGTCGTCCAGCTGTAGCTTTTCAAGGACTTCCCCAGCAATGCCTGGATCATCCTCCACTGTAGTGCGACTACACTTCTTGGGAAGCGCCTCTCTCCGGTAACACCGCTGACAATCAGGTATGAAGTACTGTATATTCCCAGCTGTAGCTAAAGTATAAAGAAATATGATTACCCGACACAATGAACAGTGTCATTGGTGATCTTTCCAAGGTTCCTCGTCACCTGCCAACTGTTAATGGGCTCTACACGTGTGTGTCAAATGGCTCACCATTCTGCAATATATTCATCAAAGTCCTGGGAAGACACTTCATTCTCCCACTGTACTCCTTATACCTGTATTGCCTATGCTGTACACATGATGAACTGTATACCTGCAGAGATTATATTCATGTCAAACCAAATTGTAAACCTGTATGATTTTATTTAATATTATTAATTTACAAACACCCACAATCATTCACATTGTGTTGTGAGCCCACATGCCCACTGTCATCCACATGCACCCACGGGGCCCTCAGAGCTTAGAGGGGGCCCAGAGCAGAATTAAGAGGGGGCCCTCAGTGGTCACTTTCCAAGATCAAAGTTTACTCTACCTATTATTATTACATCTTCAGAATTATAGACGTCAAATTTTTCAATGCTAATAGTTTGCGTGCACCTATATATCTCTCATCGTTTGGGGGCCCCCTTATGTCGGGGACCCTGGGCAGATTGCCCCCCTCCCCACCCCTGTGGGGTACCCTATGCATCTGTGTGTTCAATCACAAACACAATCAGTATTTAAACTCTTGTTCACACACACACACACACACACGGAATAGGTGAACAGAAAAACATTACTAAGTTGTTATTTTCATTTATTGAACAATTGTCTCGATACAGCGAGCTGTGACGTCATCGCTCGTGTTTTTATCTTGCCATTAATTGCCCTGAGGATCATTGTTGACATTTAAATAATTATATAAATAACTTATAAATAAATTATTAGATACTTATAAATAAATCGCTATATTCACATTTACTCGCACACGTCACTTGATTCACGCTTGACTCGATACAAAATAATCTTAATAATAAATAGTTTCTGTACAGTGCTATACATGTCTCTTGCTGCCCACATATTTTACACTATTATACACTGGATAAGTTGGTGCGACTCCTGTATTACAGGGGCCGGTGGTCATATGAAGATGAGAATGGTGCTGCCCACACCAAACCGCACCTCCCTCCAGACCCATCCTCAACACCCAATGTGCTCCTCCACTCTCACATACACCAGCCATGATAGCACAATCATGCACATGCACTGCAAGGCTGTAGAGTCCAACACATATTTAGCTGGATCGTGAAGCTTAGCATGTAGGGTGTGTAGTGTAGCCTTTAATTTTGTGAGAGTCCACACTAGATAAGCGTGGCGTGACAGCACCAAGATGTTCCCTGCTCTACACTTCTACTCTGTGAAGAACAGTGCAACACACAGGGTCTTGTGCAAGAGTGGCCAATACGTCACCTCGCACATGAGTGTGAGAGGATCGGGAGTGAAGGTGGGTAGGGCGATGGATATCACTAGCACGCCATCATCATGTAGGCGGCGGAGAAACCTTCCTCTTCCCTCTCGTTGTTGTCGTCGGTGAAAACAGTCAAACTTATGGGCCCCGTAGCGTTCACTGTGGACACGACAACCAAACCATTAAGTCAACACCACACTCCCTTCACCTACCATTAAACCTACCAATTCTCAATGAAAATTTTGTGTTTGTACTTGCCATCTTGTTGAAGATATAGAGCCAAGAAAACTAATTTAGTAAACATTACTTTAAGATGGATTGTGGTGAAGAGGACAAAAGTAAAAGTAATAATATTAGGTTATCGCCACACAATATTAAGAAGACATACATAAAATATATGACAATATGTGACGAGGCAGTACGTCAAGTAATATAATTATACCACCAAGTATCAACTGGTTGGTAAATATGACATACATACAATACAGCCTAAGAATCTAATCACATAGTCCAAGACTGCATATAAAAATAACCTACAAAATATCACCCCTTCAAGCTGTGACGAAATATATGAACCTAAGAATATTTCTACTGACGGACGGGTGGGTTTTATACAAGGGACCACTCACAGGGAATAATAATCACAAAGTACTACAACTAAATAAAAGAAATACTGTAATTCTAAATAATGTATAAGAGACGTACACTGGCTGGTCGTGGTAAGGAAGTCACCGCATAGTTTGTCTCCCGCGTTTGCAGTGTAGTCGTTCCCACAGTCCCCGTTGATGTTGCCCAAGTCGTATCTGTTGTAGTTGATACCAATGTCGCAGTACCCGGGCACGTAGCCAAAGCAGATGGAGTACATCTGGGGGTGGAGGAATCATTGTTATCCCACACCTCTACCTGTGTATGTTATGTTCAAGAGTGTTTCTCTCTCTCTCTCTCTCTCTCTCTCTCTCTCTCTCTCTCTCTCTTTTTCATTTCTATTGCTGATATGTGTAAAAATTTTAACAACAATAATAAAGATAATTATAAAACAAAACAAAATCACAATACGTCAATCAGCAAAAGAATGAAATTAATGCAAATGAAACTTATGAAAACGGACACTTAAGGAGAGTTGTAATAAATGTATAATAATGTAAAACCATGCGAGCTATTTACCTGTCCGTTGAGCATCTGGGAAGGAGAGCCACCAAAGTTAAAGGAGGAGAATGCGCCGGTGGGTTCCGTAAAGTACTGGAGGCAGCGGAAGGGCGTCTTGCACGGGTGCTTCTCGTCTATGAACGTCACCTTGATCTTCCACCGTCGCATATAGTTGAAGGCTGACATTGTTGACACTAGCTTAAACGGCCCATCAGAGTTGTCTATATCTAAGTACACTGTGGACAGTACACTCTCTCTGTTAGTATAAACACACCCTACATTCTCCCTGTTAATATGTATAACAAACACACTCCCTCAGTATAAACACACCCCACACACTCTCAAACACACCCCACACACTCCCTCAGTATAAACACACCCCACACATTCCCTGTAAGGTTCATTTTTCGCTTTATTTCTGTAAGATGGTTGAACGTTTCGATAGCAGTGGGACTTACTGTGTTGGCCAGTGTTTATTCCACACAGAGTAGGGATGTTGCTGCCCTGGTTGGCTCCCAGCACCACAAACGTGTCATTGGTACAGTCTCCCCTTAGCGGCCCCACCATATCGAAGTCCTCAAACTCCAGCAGAATTTGACACGTCTGTGGAGGGAGTTGGTATTAAGGGCTGGGATATAATATAATGGCCAAGATTATTAGATATGTACTACCTTACGACTGGGTTATGAAGCAAGAATAATAACAGTTCTCCAAAAAATCTTACTATGTAATATTACAAATATATGCCACGAAAACAATATAATGATCATTAATGAATAGGTCTATAATGGGATAAACGATGATTAGGCTTAAAATATCTTATATAACATGATATAAAGCAAAAATTATGTGCTTTATATCCTGTTATGTAAAAGTGCTTCATATAGCGGTTAGTAATGTACTCAATATAGCCTGACTAATACAGTGTTAGTGTGGGTGTTAACTGTACTCGGTGAGGTAATACTTGTACAGGGCGGATGGTTACGTGTCCCATCTCTTACATCACCAGTCGATGCTGACCACCCCTGTAGTAGTGGTGGTGCTGGAGGTGGTGGTGGTGGTGATAGAGGTAGTGGTGGTGGTAGCAGTAGTAGTAGTAGTAATAGTGGTGATAGTGGTGGTGGTAGTGGTGATAGTGGTGGTGGTAGTAGTAATAGTGGTAATAGTGGTAGTGGTGGTGGTAGCAGTAGTAATAGTGGTGATAGTGGTGAGTAGTGGTGGTGGTGGTAGTAGTATAGTGATGGTGGTGGTGGTATAATAGTAGTGGTGATAGTAGTATGGTGGTGGTAGTGGTGATAGTGGTGGTGGTAGTAGTAGTAGTAATAGTGGTGATAGTGGTAGTGGTGATGGTGTAGTGTGTGTGGTGATAGTGGTGGTGGTGATAGTGGTGGCAGTAGTAGTAAGGGTGATAGTGGTGGTGGTGGTGGTGGTAGTAGTAATAGTATAGTGATGGTGGTGGTGGTGGTAGTAGTAATAGTGATGGTGGTGGTGGTAGTGGTGATAGTAGTGGTGGTGGTGGTGGTGGTGGTAGTGGTGATAGTGGTAGTGGTGATAGTGGTGATGGTAGGTCAAGACTCACCCTCTGGCGGATGGAGGGAAACATAACATAACGCAGTCCTGGTGGTAAAGGAAGGGTTGGTGTAATACTGGTGGCTGGCATCTATGGTGTGTCCACAAGTCCGGTACACTGTAGGAGTCATCATATATCACTGTCCCACCACCCTCCCGCTAACACACACACACAGGTAAACCTTGACTGCCCCTTGTATAGTGATGATGACTGCCCTTGTATAGTGATGATGACTGCCCTTGTATAGTGATGATGACTGCCCCTTGTATAGTGATGATGACTGCCCTTGTATAGTGATGATGACTGCCCTTGTATAGTGATGATGACTGCCCCTTGTATAGTGATGATGACTGCCCTTGTATAGTGATGATGACTGCCCTTGTATAGTGATGATGACTGCCCCTTGTATAGTGATGATGATTGCCCTTGTATAGTGATGATGACTGCCTTGTATAGTGATGATGACTGCCCTTGTATAGTGATGATGACTGCCCTTGTATAGTGATGATGACTGCCCCATGTATAGTGATGATAGCTGCCCATGTGTAGTGATGATGACTGCCTTGTATAGTGATGATGACGCCTGTATAGTGATGATAACTGCCCATGTGTAGTGATGACTGCCTTGTATAGTGATGATGCTGCCTTGTATAGTGTGACTGCCCCATGTGTAGTGATGATGACTGCCCTTGTATAGTGATGATGACTGCCTTGTATAGTGATGATGACTGCCTTGTATAGTGATGATGACCGCCCTTGTATAGTGATGATGCTGCCCCATGTGTAGTGATGATGACTGCCTCTTGTATAGTGATGATGACTGCCTTGTATAGTGATGATGACTGCCTTGTATAGTGATGATGACCGCCCTTGTATAGTGATGATGACTGCCCTTGTATAGTGATGATAACTGCCCCATGTGTAGTGATGATGACTGCCTCTTGTATAGTGATGATGACTGCCCCTGTTAGTGATGATGACTGCCCCATGTGTAGTGATAACTGCCTTATTTAGTGATGATGACTGCCTTGTATAGTGATGATGACTGCCTTGTATAGTGATGATGACTGCCCTTGTATAGTGATGATGACTGCCCCATGTAGTGATGATGACTGCCCCATGTTAGTGATGATGACCGCCCCTTGTGTAGTGATGATGACGCCCCATGTAGTGATGATGACTGCCTTGTATAGTGATGATGACTGCCTTGTATAGTGATGATGACCGCCCTTGTATAGTGATGATGACCGCCCTTGTATAGTGATGATGACCGCCCTTGTATAGTGATGATAACTGCCTCTTGTACAGTGATGATGCTGCCTTGTATAGTGATGATAACTGCCCCTTGTATAGTGATGATGACTGCCTTGTGTAGTGATGATGACTGCCCATGTGTAGTGATGATGACTGCCTTGTATAGTGATGATAACTGCCTTGTATAGTGATGATGACTGCCTCTTGTATAAGTGTGATGATGACTGCCCCTTGTATAGTGATGATAACTGCCCCATGTGTAGTGATGATGACTGTCCCTTGTGTAGTGATGATAACTTGCCCCATGTGTAGATGATGACTGCCCCTTGTGTAGTGATGATGACTGCCCTTGTGTAGTGATGATGACTGCCCCATGTGTAGTGATGATGACTGCCCTTGTATAGTGATGATAACTGCCCCATGTGTAGTGATGATGACTGCCTCTTGTATGGTGATGATGACTGCCCCTTGTATAGTGATGATGATTGCCCCTTGTATAGTGATGATGACTGTCCCTTGTATAGTGATGATGACCGCCCCTTGTATAGTGATGATGACTGCCCAGTGTATAGTGATGATGACTGCCCAGTGTATAGTGATGATGACTGCCCAGTGTATAATGAGATAACTGCCTGTATAGTGATGACCGCCCTTGTATGGTGATGATGACTGCCCTTGTATAGTGATGATGACCGCCCTTGTGTAGTGATGATGACCGCCCTTGTATAGTGATGATGACCGCCCAGTGTATAAGATGATGGTTAGGTTAGAAGATATTTAAGGAGGATGACTTAATGAGAAGGGGGAGGTGGGTGATGGGACAGGTGAGGGGTGGTGGGTGACAGGTGGGGTGGGGACAGGTGAGGTGGTGGGTGACAGGTGGGGGTGGTGGGACAGGTGGCGGGTGCTGGGCACAGGTGAGGGGGGTGGGTGACAGGTGGGGGGTGGTGGGGACAGGTGGGGGGGTGGAGGGACAGGTGGGGGTGGAGGGACAGGTGAGGGGGTGGAGGGGACAGGTGAGGGGGTTGGAGGAGACAGGTGAGGGGTGGAGGGACAAGGAGGGGTGGAGGGACAGGTGAGGGGTGGTGGGTGACAGGTGTGGGTTGGTGGGGGACAGGTGAGGGGTGGTGGGTGACAGGTGGGGGTGGTGGGGACAAGTGAAGGGGGTGGAGGGTACAGGTGAGGGGGGTGGAGGGGACAGGTGAGGGGTGGAGGGACAGGTGAGGGGGGTGGAGGGACAGGTGAGGGGGTGGAGGGACAGGTGAGGGGGGTGGAGGGACAGGTGAGGGAGGTGGAGGGACAGGTGAGGAGGGAGGGACAGGTGAGGGGAGTGGGAGGGGACAGGTGAGGGAGTGGAGGGACAGGTGAGGGGGGGAGGGACAGGTGAGGGGCGGAGGGGACAGGTGGAGGGGGCGGAGGGGACAGGTGGGAGGGGTGGAGGGACAGGTGAGGGGTGGGAGGGACAGGTGAGGGGGTGGAGGGACAGGTGAGGGAGGTGGAGGGACAGGTGAGGAGTGGAGGGGACAGGTGAGGAGTGGAGGGACAGGTGAGGAGGAGGGACAGGTGAGGGCGGAGGGGACAGGAGGGGCGGAGGGACAGGTGAGGGGCGGGAGGGACAGGTGAGGGGCGGAGGGGACAGGTGAGGGGTGGAGGGACAGGTGAGGGGCGGAGAGGACAGGTGAGGGGAGGTAGGACAGGTGAGGGGTGGAGGGACAAGTGAGGGAGGTGGAGAGGACAAGTGAGGGAGGTGGCGGGTTAAGACAACAGTACTTACACCAGTAGGAGGGGTGATTCCACCATACACATGCCGGGGGGGTGGAGGTGGAGGCGGGTAGGCGTGGTTGACGAAGTAGCTACCATTTTGTTCACTCCAACCATCACACGTCACCTGTACTGTAATGTGTACCGACCTCTTTAGTGCATGGAGGGGCGTGAGGGTGCGTGAGGTGGGGTGCGTGAGGGTGCAGGGGGGGTGCGTGAGGGTGCAGGGGGGTGCGTGAGGAGGGCAAGAAATATAAAATAACAAACAAAAATCATTAACCCCAAAACCTAAATTACCATACCATACCAGATCATGGAAGGTGATTGGTTGCTGGGTTGCTTAGTGGGCGGTAAGATGACTCGACCAACCAATCACCTAACACGAACTTTGGACGGTGGATGGAGGAGAGGTTTGGTTGGTCGTTTATTACAACAGTTAACAATATTATAACATTTTCTCACAAGGGCAGAAACGCACAGCAGACAACAATACTTACAGACACAGCAGACAACAATACTTACAGACACAGCAGACAGCAATACTTCAGGCACAGCAGACGTAACTTACAGACACAGCAGACAGCAATACTTATGACACAGAGACAACAATACTTACAGGCACAGCAGACAGCAATAATTACAGACACAGCAGACAGCAATACTTACAGACACAGCAGCAGCACACTTACAGACACAGCAGACAACAATACTTACAGGCACAGCAGACAACAATACTTACAGGCACAGCAGACAACAATACTTACAGACACAGCAGCCAGCAATACTTTACAGGCACAGCAGACAGTAATACTTACAGACACAGCAGACAGCACACTTACAGACACAGCAGACAACAATACTTACAGGCACAGCAGACAGCACACTTAGACACACAGTAGACAGCACACTTACAGACACAGCAGCCAGCAATACTTACAGACACAGCAGACAACAATACTTACAGACACAGCAGACAACAATACTTACAGACACAGCAGACAACAATACTTACAGACACAGCAGACAACAATACTTACAGGCACAACAGACAGAAGTACACAGCAGACAGCAATACTTACAGACACAGCAGACAGCAATACTTACAGACACAGCAGACAGCAATACTTACAGACACAGCAGACAACAATACTTACAGACACAACAGACAGCAATACTTACAGACACAGCAGACAACAATACTTACAGGCACAGCAGACAGCAATACTTACAGACACAGCAGACAGCACATTTACAAAACACAGCAGACAGACACAAACAGACAGAAGTACACAGCAGACAGCAACATTTGCACACAAGTACACAGAGACAACAGACAGCAGACAAATACTTACAGACACAGCAGACAGTAATTTTACAGACACAAGTAGACAACAATATTTACAGACAGCAGACAGCAAACACTTACACACACAGCAGACAGCAATACTCTCATAATAATAACACAGCAGACAACAATACTCTTACAGAAACAGTAGACAACAATACTTACAGACACAGACAACAATACTTACAGACACAGCAGACAACAATACTTACAGACACAGCAGACAACAATACTTACAGACACAGCAGACAACAATACTTACAGACACAGCAGACAACAATACTTACAGACACAGCAGACAACAATACCTACAGACACAGCAGACAACAATACCTACAGACACAGCAGACAACAGCACTTACAGACACAGCAGACAGCACTTACAGACACAGCAGACAGCACTTACAGACACAGCAGACAGCACTTACAGACACAGCAGGCAACAATACTTACAGACACAGCAGACAACAATACTTACAGACACAGCAGACACCAAAGCCATTAGCGCAGGTTCCCGACGCTGCACCCCCTAGACCATCACACTCCTTCTGGCTATAACAGGTTCCGTGCTCTCCGCTCGACGCTTCACACGGACCATTCTCAAAGGTGATGATCTGCATCACTGGTAAAACTGTAACAATAAATAAATCAATTAATAGATTAATAAATAAACCAACAAACAATAAATAAATAAAAATAAATAGATACATAATATATAAATAAATAAACAATAAATATATAATAAATAAATAGATAAATAAAAGATAAATAGATAAATAAATAAACAATGAATAGATAGGTAAATAAATAAACATTAAATAAATATATAAATAAATAAATAAACACACACATGGTGTATAATGGCTGCCCCTTGTGTACGAGGATGGCCGGCCCTAGGGCCAACTAGGCGTGAATTTGTTTAAGGTGTAGAAGCTGTCGCCAACACAACAACACCCTGAGTTAAGGAGCTGCATAACCCAGTGTCGAGGAATAGTCCGAGAAGACCGGACAACTCGCCAGCTGCACTGGCTAACCATTACCCCGGAACACGATCAGCAAATCGATTAACATCCAGGTCCCCAATTACTGCTGGGTAGAGAGAGGCATATATATATATATATACATGGAAAAAATCTTACCCTGTGTGTGTGTGTGTGTGTGTGTGTGTGTGTATGACTGTGGGAATATGTGTACATGGCTCCGGATTGTTTTACACACACACACACACACACACACACACACACACACACACACACTCACTCACTCACTCACTCACTCACTCACTCACTCACTCACACACACACACACACAAAGCTAACCTTAACCAAACCTAACCTAACTTAATTTCACCTAACCACATTTAACTTAACTTAACCTAACCTAACCTCTTTCCTCTATGCCACAACAGCAACACAAAAAATAGGTCACTTGTATGAACAGTGAACAACACAACACAGTACAACCCTAATCAGTGCTCATTAAATGTACTGAACTATGCATTAAGGTATTTTAGTTCACATTCAGGGGAAAATTCACAACTTTTCGTCCTTTTCCCAGATAATTGTGGTCTTTACTTAATCCTATTTGATCCTCTATAGCAAGTACTGGATGTGTATGGTCTCTGTTACACACTGTTGACAAGTACTGGACGTGTATGGTCTCTGTTACACACTGTTGACAAGTACTGGACGTGTATGGTCTCTGTTACACACTGTTGACAAGTACTGGATGTGTATGGTCTCTGTTACACACTGTTGACAAGTACTGGATGTGTATGGTCTCTGTTACACACTGTTGACAAGTACTGGACGTGTATGGTCTCTGTTACACACTGTTGACAAGTACTGGACGTGTATGGTCTCTGTTACACACTGTTGACAAGTACTGGACGTGTATGGTCTCTGTTACACACTGTTGACAAGTACTGGTGTATGGTCCTGTTACACACTGTTGACAAGTACTGGTGTATGGTCTCTGTTACACACTGCTGACAAGTACTGACGTGTATGGTCTCTGTTGTTGACAAGTACTGACACACTGTTGACAAGTACTGGACGTGTATGGTCTCTGTTACACACTGTTGACAAGTACTGGACGTGTATGGTCTCTGTTACACACTGTTGACAAGTACTGACGTGTATGGTCTCTGTTACACAATTGCTGACAAGCACTGGACGTGTATGGTCTCTGTTACACACTGCTGACAAGCACTGACGTGTATGGTCTCTGTTAACACTGTTGACAAGTACTGACGTGTATGGTCTCTGTTTGCTTACAAGTACTGGACGTGTATGGTCTCTGTTACACACTGTTGACAAGTACTGGACGTGTATGGTCTCTGTTACACACTGTTGACAAGTACTGACGTGTATGGTCTCTGTTACACACTGTTGACACGTGTATGGTCTCTGTTACACACTGACAGACTGATGTGTATGGTCTCTGTTACACACTGTTGACAAGTACTGGACGTGTATGGTCTCTGTTACACACTGTTGACAAGTACTGGATGTGTATGGTCTCTGTTACACACTGTTGACAAGTACTGGACGTGTATGGTCTCTGTTACACACTGTTGACAAGTACTGGACGTGTATGGGGGAGGGAGGAAGTGTGGTAGAGTGAAGGGGTGTGGTAGAGGGAGGTGGTGTGGTAGAATGAGGTGGTGTGGTAGAGTGAGGAGGTGTGGTAGAGGGAGGAGGTGTGGTAGAGGGAGGAGGTGTGGTAGAGTGAGGGGGTTGTGGTAGAGGGAGGTGTGGTAGAGGGAGGAGGTGTGGTAGAGGGAGGAGGTGTGGTAGAGGGAGGAGGTGTGGTAGGGGAGTGGTGGAGGCCCGTGACCTTCACCTGTGTCAGGAAAAGAAACTAGACGATGATGACTGACAGTAGCTAGCTGACGCCTTAACACAGTCAGCACCAGGGGGAACACGGGGACGGTAATGACAGAAAATATTAGGATGTGTTAAAGGATAAACAAAAGTGAAGAAGACATCAAGGAAACAGCACGACAGGCATTAACAAAATAAACTGTTAAAACAAAACTAAAAATAAAACAATGTTCTTAAAAATGTTTATAAAGTCGCGTGAAGAAGAACAAGGTCACACAGTAGACGGGGGAGACGACCTGTTAAAACATCCGGGTAGAAGTGAAACTGTATAACGGGTTGGGTGGTGACCCCGATCATGTGGTACGCGAGGGACGTGCCAGCCTCCTGACCGACATCCTCCAGCGGAAGCGGTAGCGACGTTGCCAAGGTTCTTGACCGATATCCAACAGCGGCGGCGGCGTCATGGGAAGCGTTGTTGACCGACTTCAGTAAGCCAGTGGGTCGTTTCAGACCCCGGGGCAGGTCACTCACCCACCACGCCCGCCATCATCATGGTCTCCACTGCACTCTTGACCTTAATAACATAATCGCCTTTTTTATACACATGTCTGCCGCTCAGCCTCTCACAGTTATGCTAAGTGGGCGACCCGGTGTGTGTTAATAGATACACCGGGATGACGTCTTGCGGGAGTGTACTGTACTGTAACAGCGTCGGGTAAGGTGACAATAATGATGGGTATATGGGTCTCTGGGTAAAGCTCTTGTTTATACCTCTACACATGAGTTACGGGGAAGGGGGTGGGGATCTATGCCTTAGTGACAGCTCTGTCGAGAAGATTATGTTAATACTGACACTATCAATGACTATGAAAGAAGCCCTCCACCAAAACTTGTCCGTACATCACTGTGTTGTGGTTAAGTCACCGTCTGTTATCTTAGTGTCATCTCATATTCGTCTTTCTACAACACCAGGAAATAAACAGACAGAATAAAGTTCTCTCTGTTTGTGTGGAATCAGAAGGTCAGTTTTACTCGTGGGTCATGGAGGTGTGTGTGTGGGTGCAATGATGGTATGAGCCGTAGAGCGCGAAGTACCTTGCTAGAGGTCATCCTGGAGGTGCTCAGGTCGAGAATTTCCTCACCCAAATCTAGGCCACCACACCATCTACCTGGGCGACCACCTATATTGTTTATCATAACTCACACAGTGTGCCACCACCTGTGCTTCACCATAGGATCACCTGAAGAATAGTCATCCCAGACTTTCACAGGGTGATGAGTCTTCTGGCGAGACAGCCTGGGGTGATGAGTCTTCTGGTGATCCTTGCCATATACTGTACTAACAGGCTTCCTGATTTTACGTTGGTAATTAACGTTGATCATTGTGCAGTATACTGTGAGCAGCGCCAACTGTTACCAACACCAGTTACTCCCTCACTACCACGAGGCGCTGTTAATTGTTCTGTTGCCGTTATCTCATCACTGCCAGTGTGTGTGTGTGACAGCTTTACCAATTTCTGACACAATTACCAGTGTTTTACAACTCTGCTAATCGTGCCAACACTAAGAGCCCACCACCAATGTTGCCAACAACGCCTACACTACTTGTTGTCCTCCTGCCACCACTGCCACCCCAATTATTACATTTCTAGTTAAAATTTACACTAGTTTTGTGGTCAGTCTCTTGCCAACACTAACACCACTGTGCCACCTCGCCATGTTTGTGCCAACACTATCAGAACTCATATTCACAATCTCTCTGCCTCGCTGCCAACACTTAAAAGTAAATACCAATAAGCACATTGTCGCTGGTCACCTGCCAACACTTTGGCCTCGCTGGAGTCCTGCCAACACACAAAACACAGCCACCAGGGTCAAAATTCAAATTTATCACATGTGTGTAGTGGTGCCAACAGCAACACTCACACTTTTCCTATCACTTGTGTCTCTGCCAACAGTCAACACTACCAACACTCACACTTACCAGCCAACAACATTAATAACACTTACATTTGGAGTCTCTGTTGGACTCCGCCGCCGCCGCCGCTGCCGTCGCCTCCTCCCCGACAGAGGCAGCCGTGACAGCCGCAGCCAGTGTCACCACCATCACGATCACCCGCGACAACATTCTGAAACAAACATATTGTTAGTATTGATTTTTTGGAGCAAGACTACCGGCCATTACCCCCCAAACTACACCAAACACCATCCCTTGTGTCTCTTAGTCAAACATGAATTATCCTTGTATTTAAGGCCCATGTGTAAGAGAACCAATGTACCCACTAATGGTAACTTAAGTTCAACAAGACAGCGTCCTCTCGGCACACTATACCATACACCAAAACAGATATAGTCATGTTACTCCTCTCTTACATCCATGAACCCCGAAACTCATGAACCTGTGAATCCGAGACATCTATAGGTCCAATAGTGATGTCTCGGATTCACAGGGTTCGTAGATGGGAGACAGAATCGACAAACAGGTTCACGTAATGCACTCTATTTACATAACAACCAACCACAACAATACTAATCACCCATACTTGTATAAATTAGTCTCAACCCTCATATTAAAAGCCATTTAAACCCATCGGTAGGTTATTTTAATATGGTTATATGACCAGTAATTAACACACCAGTTGCAAAAAGACACCATAGTGAAGACGTTTCATTATAGTTTAGATATTTTATACGCTCATCACTCACAAGATTGCCGCCACACTCTCCAAACTCTAGTCTAACTTCCTCTGGAGATTAAAGATTGATAAGATCATGTATTCTAGTTTATTTGGTGTTTATCTACAACGTATTGAGGGATCCAGAGGTATAAGGATGCCCTGTCGATATACTGAAGGGGAGAAGGTGGTGATAGGGCGACATAGAGGGGGCAAGGGTTAGGTTACAGAGAGCTTAACACGCATAGAAAGCTTGTGTGTGTGTGTTTAAGGGGTCACTATAATATGCAAATACCCGCAAGTTATCCCATAGCTAATTGTATAGTGTAAAAAGCATGGAGGAAATAGTAATGGGGGGGGAAGGGAGGGAGGGAGAGGGAGGGAGGGAGGGAGGGAGGGAGGGAGGGGAGGAGGGAGGGTAGGGAGGGAGGGAGGGAGGGTGACGTCGACCTCTCATCAATAAGTGTGATGGTTTAGCCTATAAGAGTAAAAGGTTTAAGTTACAGCTGAGTCTCAGTTTAGGTAGAGTCTCAGTTTAGGTAAGAGGCTCAGTCTAGGTAGAGGCTCAGTCTAGGTGGTCTCAGTTTAAGTAGAGTCTCAGTTTAAGTAGAGTCTCAGTCTTGGTAGAGTCTCAGTCTAGGTAGAGTCTCAGTCTAGGTGGTCTCAGTTTAAGTAGAGTCTCAGTCTAGGTAGAGTCTCAGTCTAGGTAGAGTCTTTGTCTAATATCTACGCCATATTTACTGTCACATAGTGTAAGTGAGTCTATTTTAAAACACGTTCTGACATGTGCAGTTTGGAAGTAAAATTAAGGTAGGAATCCCTGACCATTCGGGAGGCCATGTGAGTGGACCCCAGCTCGGGTCATGACTTATGCTACTGTTGAAGTCTCTCCCTTGGTCTAGTGAGTCCCATGTAAGGAGGACACTGACTGACTTAAGATACACCCTGGATAAAAATAAACTAAAGATCAAGCGTTAGATCCCGGATACAGAGAGATAATATCCACCACAATAATGATCACTGTACCACGCTTATGATCACTGTACCACGCCTACGATCACTGTAACTGTGACACGGCTATGATCACTGTCACAAGGGCAGTAACACATAATATAAAACACTATAAGAAGGGCCGTGACGTCTAACAGCACTGTAACAAGGACAGCAACGCGTTATATCACTGTAAACATTAGTAACGGAGGTGACACGTACTGGATGGTGTGTGTGTCCCGGGAGGCTAGCAACTAGTGAATGAGCTGCGGAAGTAGGTCGTGGTGGGTTATATAGGGTCCTCCCACCGGGAAGTGACCCCCGCGCATGCGTCAACCATGTCCTACAACACCGCCCGCTAATATGGGTCACTCACTCTCGCGGTGCCAGGATGAGTCGCGTTGGAGGGAGGCACGGAGGCATGGAAGGTACACTGGCAGGAAGGCAAGCAATGTGTATCATCTTCCTTACTTGTTGCTTGTTGGAGGAAATGAAGGCAGATAGATAATGAGGAGGAAGTTGATTGGCGAGGGCGTGAAGGCGGACATGTGTGGAGAGAGAGAGAGAGAGAGAGAGAGAGAGAGAGAGAGAGAGAGAGAGAGAGAGAGAGAGAGAGAGAGAGAGAGAGAGGTGAGAGAGAGAGAGAGAGAGAGAGAGAGAGAGAGAGAGAGAGAGAGAGAGAGGAGGTGTTAATAAGTTGACGCCACTCAGTCACACACCCCATCCCGAATGTACCTGCACGTGACTCATGCCCTCCAGGACAAAGTCGGGCAGCTAACAGGGTCCAAGAATATTAGGATCATTTACCATTACACTAAGAGGAACTGAGGCTATAGGTGTGTATAACAATGACTTATCTTGGACCATATAAGTAATAAGACCAATTAATTTATGGTATCATTATCAGATCACCATATAAACTATCACAGCTCAGAGTGTTGTTTAATATATTATAAATTTAATTCCCTCCCTCTCCCTACAAAAAATAATTTCCTTCACTCCATTTTAACGTGTTGTTGTGATCACGGGAAAGTGGTTTCATGTGGGTAGGAGGGAGTGGGAGGTGGGAGGTCAGAGAGTTGGTCACAGGGTATCGATGTGGTTTTAAGGGGGGTAGGAGGGAGTGGGAGGTGGGAGGTCAGAGAGTTATCACAGGGTATCGATGTGTGATGGTAGGTATATTTATCAACATGTTCAGGTTACCGACATGATATATTGTAGTTCCAACAGTCCTGCTGCACGTTAGCTCTAGTTTGTATCTCATCTTTTCCTTCTTATACACACAACTGTACTTCATGTTCCCCTTTATCCCTCCTTCGTGCGTCTTCTTCCTTATCCCTCCTTCGTGTGTCTTCTTCCTTATCCCTCCTTCGTGTGTCTTCTTCCGTGTGTCTTCTTCCTTATCCCTCCTTCGTGTGTCTTCTTCCTTATCCCTCCTTCGTGTGTCTTCTTCCTTATCCCTCCTTCGTGTGTCTTCTTCCTTATCCCTCCTTCGTGTGTCTTCTTCCTTATCCCTCCTTCGTGTGTCTTCTTCCTTATCCCTCCTTCGTGTGTCTTCTTCTTATCCCTCCTTCTCAGTGTCTTCTTCCTTATCCCTCCTTCTGTGTGTCTTCTTCCCTTATCCCTCCTTCGTGTGTCTTCTTCCCCTTATCCCTCCTTCTGTGTGTCTTCTTCCTTATCCCTCCTGTGTGTCTTCTTCCTTATCCCTCCTTCAAGTGTCTTTCTTTTCTTATCCCTCCCTGTCTTCTTCCTATCCCTCCTTCTGTGTCTTCTTCCCCATCCCTCCCTGTGTCTTCTTTCTCTTATCCCTCCTTCTGTGTGTCTCTTCCTTATCCCTCCTTCTGTGTCTTCTTCCTTATCCCTCCTCGCGGTTCCTTTCCTTATCCCTCCTTCTGTGTTCCTTCCTTATCCCTCCTCGTGTCTTCTTCCTTATCCCTCCTTCGTGTGTGTCTTCCTTATCCCTCCTTCGTGTGTCTCTTCCTTATCCCTCCTTCATGTGTCTTCTTCCTTATCCTCCTTCGTGTGTCTTCTTCCTTATCCCTCCTTCCATGTGTCTTCTTCCCTTATCCCTCCTTCTGTGTGTCTTTCCTTATCCTCCCCGTGTCTTCTTCCTATCCCTCCTTCTGTGTCTTCTTCCTATCCTCCTTCGTGTTCTTCCTTATCCCTCCTGTGTCTCTTCCATCCCTCCTTCAGGTTTCATCTCCTCTGTGTCTTCTTCCCATCCCCTTCCAGGTCTTCTTCTATCCCTCCTTCGTGTCTTCTTCCCATCCCTCCTCTGTGTCTTCTTCCCATCCCTCCTTCTGTCTCTCCTTATCCCTCCTTCAGTGTTCTTCCACCTCCCTGTCTTCTTCCATCCCTCCTTCGTGTCTTCTTCCTATCCTCCTTCTTGTGTCTTCTTCCTTATCCCTCCTTCGTTCTTCTTCCTTATCCCTCCTCGTGTGTCTTCTTCCTTATCCCTCCCCGTGTCTTTCTTCCTATCCGTCCTTCGTGTGTTTCTTCCTTATCCCTCCGTCGTGTTCTTCTCCCATCCCTCCTTCGTGTGCTCTTCCCTTATCCCTCCTTCTGTGTCTTCTTCCCATCCCTCCTCGTGGCCTTCTCCTTATCCCTCCTTCTGTGTGTCTTCTTCCTTATCCCTCCTTCTGTGTGTCTTCTTCCCCATCCTCCTTCATGTTCTCTTCCTCATCCCTCCCTGTCTTCTTCCTTATCCCTCCTTCGTGTGTCTTCTTCCTTATCCCCTCCTTCTGTGTCTTCTTCCTATCCCTCCTTCTGGTCTTCTTCCCTATCCCTTCGTGTGTCTTCTTCCCTATCCCTCCCTTCATGTCTTCTTCCCTATCCCTCCTTCTGTGTGTCTTCTTCCTTATCCCTCCTTCGTGTCTTCTTCCTTATCCTCCTTTGTGTCTTCTTCCCTATCCTCCTTTGTGTGTCTTCCATCCTCCTTCGTGTCTTCTTCCTTATCCCTCCTTCTGCATCTTCTTCCTTATCCCTCCTTCGTGTTTCTTCCTATCCCTCCTTCAGGTCTTCTTCCCATCCCTCCTTCTGTGTCTTCTTCCCTATCCCTCCTTCAGGTCTTCTTCCCTATCCCTCCCTTTCTGCTTCTTCCTATCCCTCCTTCTGTGTGTTCTTCCCTATCCCTCCTTCTGTGTGTCTTCTTCCCTATCCCTCCTTCTGTGTGTCTTCTTCCTTATCCCTCCTTCTGTGTCTTCTTCCTATCCCTCCTCCTTTGTGTGCTTTTTCCTTATCCCTCCCTGTGTGTCTTCTTCCTTATCCCTCCTTCGTGTGTCTTCTTCCTTATCCCTCCTTCGTGTGTTCTTCCTTATCCCTCCTTCTTGTGTCTTCTTCCTTATCCCTCCTTCGTGTGTCTTCTCTTATCCTCCTTCTTGTGCTGTTTCTTCCTTATCCCTCCTTCGTGTCTTCTTCCTATCCCTCCTTCGTGTGTCTTCTTCCTTATCCCTCCTTCGTGTTCTTCCTTATCCCCTCCTTCTGGTTCTTCCTCCTTCGTGCGTCTTCTTCTATCCCTCCTTCAGTGTCTTCCTTATCCTCCTTCGTGTCTTCTTCCTATCCCTCCTTCGTGTGTCTTCTTCCTTATCCCTCCTTCGTGTGTCTTCTTCCTTATCCCTCCTTCGTGTGTCTTCTTCCCTTATCCTCCTTCGTGTGTCTTCTTCCTTATCCTCCTTCGTGTGTCTTCTTCCTTATCCCTCCTTGTATTGTTCTTCCTTATCCCTCCTTCTTGTGTCTTCTTCTTATCCCTCCCGTGCATCTTCTTCCTTATCCCTCCTTCTGGTCTCTTCTTCCCTTATCCCTTCGTGTGTCTTCTTATCTCCTTCGTGTGTCTTCTTCCTTTCCCTCTTCGTGCTCTTCTTCTTATCCCTCCTTCGTGTGTCTTCTTCCTATCCCTCCTTCATTGTCTTCTTCCTTATCCCTCCTTCGTGTCTTCTTCCTTATCCTCCTTCGTGTGTCTTCTTCCTTATCCCTCCTTCGTGTGTCTTCTTCCTTATCCTCCTTCGTGTGTCTTCTTCCTTATCCCTCCTTCGTGTGTCTTCTTCCTTATCCCTCCTTCGTGTGTCTTCTTCCTTATCCTCCCTTTGTCTTCTTCCTTATCCTCCCTTCGTGTGTCTTCTTCTTATCCCTCCTTCGTGTGTCTTCTTCCTTATCTCCTTCGTGTGTCTTCTTCCTTATCCTCCTTCGTGTGTCTTCTTCCTTATCCCTCCTTCGTGTGTCTTCTTCCTTATCCTCCTTCGTGTGTCTTCTTCCCTTATCCTCTTCTCGTGTCTTCTTCCTTATCCCTCCTTCGTGTGTGTCTTCCTTATCCCTCCTTCTTGTGTCTTCTTCTTATCCCTCCTTCGTGTGTCTTCTTCCTATCCCTCTCCTTCGTGTGTCTTCTTCCTTATCCCTCCTTCGTGTGTCTTCTCCTTCTCCCTCCTTCGTGTGTCTTCTTCCTTATCCCTCCTTCGTGTCCTTCTTCCTTATCCCTCCTTCGTGTGTCTTCTTCCTTATCCCTCCTTCGTGTGTCTTCTTCCTTATCCTCCTTCGTGTGTTCTTCCCTTATCCTCCTTCGTGTGTCTTCCTTATCTCCTTCGTGTGTCTTCTTCTTATCCTCCTTCGTATGTCTTCTTCCTTATCCCTCCTTCATGTGTCTTCTTCTTATCCCTCTTCGTGTGTCTTCTTCCTTATCCCTCCTTCGTGTGTCTCTTCCTCATCCCTCCTTCGTGTGTCTTCCCTTATCCCTCCTTCGTGTGTCTTCTTCCTTATCCTCCTTCGTGTTCTTCTTCCTTATCCTCCTTCATGTGTCTTCTTCCTTATCCTCCTTCGTGTGTCTTCTTCATCCCTCCTTCGTGTGTCTTCTTCTTATCCCTCCTTGTTTGTCTTCTTCCTTATCCCTCCTTCTTGTGTGTCTTCTTCCCTTATCCCTCCTTCATGTGTCTTTCTTCCTTATCCCTCCTTCGTTGTCTTCTTCCTTATCCCTCCTTCGTGTGTCTTCTTCTTATCCCTCCTTCGTGTGTCTTCTTCCTTATCCCTCCTTCGTGTCTTCTTCCTATCCTCCTTCGTGCATCTTCTTCCTATCCTCCTTCGTGCATCTTCTTCCTTATCCCTCCTTCGTGTTTTCTTCCTTATCCCTCCTTCGTGCGTCTTCTTCCTTATCCCTCCTTCGTGTGTCTTCTTCCTTATCCCTCCTTCGTGTCTTCTTCCTATCCCTCCTTCGTGTGTTCTTACTTATCCCTCCTTCGTGTCTCTTCTTCCTTATCCTCCTTCGTGCATCTTCTTCCTTATCCCTCCTTCGTGTGTCTTCTTCCTTATCCCTCCTTCGTGTGTCTTCT